ATCTTGCCTTCACCACGAACCCCGGATATAAATTGTCTCGCCAAACACTAAATAAAGAGAAGAAAGATGGTCATTATTCATTTAGACTATTATCATTTGCACACAGTCAACGTGAAGAAAATACTGAATATACGATACATCTAATTATTTGTAATTATTTTCTTATTTACTTGTTGTTTTTTTTTCTAGCAATTAGTAACTTCAGTTCTATAAGCTATTTAAAAAAAATAAACACGTACATTAATTAGTACATTTGCATATGATAAAAGAATAACCAAATGATTGAAACTTGTCGAAAATTCTGAGATAATTTTCCATTGGTAATTTTTTCTTACTTCTATATTTATTGTTAAAAAAAAATAGTAAACATAAACGCTATCTATTTATTAGTTTATTTATTTACAATATTTATTTATAGGAATGTTTGTTAATACATCGGTGATTTGCCAATTGGTTCAAACTTTATAATCGTTAAACTCTCCCACAATTCCTACCTAACCCTGGTGGCCGGAGCGTAGATTGTTGTAAAGCCACAACCTACTTATGAAAAGTCCTAAGCAGGAGTCTCCGGGTAATGTGGATGTTTGACACTTTTGGTTGCGTCAGGCTCTCCTTGCAACACATCGCAGATCCTCTTCATGATGACATTTGGACTCGAATGTTTCACCCCCCACCCCCACTAACCCAGTATGGTCCAGCGCTTGAGAGACTGATTCGTAGCAAAGGGATGTCTTAAATTGGCCCTTAAGAATTTTTTGCTTTGGGAAGCATTCGCTTAGGAGTTTATTTTGGATGAAATTTTCAGGACTTATTTATAAATGAATTAAATTATTTTTGTTCGAAAATGATGGTAAAAATATTTTTACACGTGTGTCACGTCCTTAATTTTATGAAAATTTTAGAAATTCACCGAGGTAATGTTTAGTAAATATATTAGTTAAATGTAGAATTTCTTGAAGAATTTAAATCACAGAATTTTTTGTAACAAAATCGGACCCCGTCTTAATAAAATCTTTTCTCAGTTGAAAAATTAAAAAAAAACGCAATAAAACTAAGATATTATTTAATTAGAGAAGCTTTAGTTGCTATATATTATATATATATATATATATATATATATATATATATATATATATATATAATTAATTGATTTAAAATATGGAAATAACATATTTTAAATCAATTAATTTATAATATTAATTCTCTGTAAATTTACATTGAGCACTATTTTGTAAAAATAAAAAAATATCTATAAGAACACTGGATTATATTTTTCTTACTGTTCTTTCTTTATATATATATATATATATATATATATATATATATAAAAAGACAATATTTTTTCGATGAAAATGAATTTTTATATGATTTGTTTTCATTATTTTGAATTTTAAATTGAATAAATTATGAATATTTTAAAACTTAAAATCCAGTTTCAATGTGAAATAGTGTTATCAAGTGAAAACTATGAAATAGTGTTATAAAGTAAAATTATATTTATTAATTATATATTGTAAAGATTGTGGTAAACTGTCCGATGAAGTTCACATTCGTTTGCACCTTGTTTCTTATGCAGTGCTATAAAAATAGATCTACTTATGTCTTCCGGTATATCACCACTGTTGTATATTTCATTTATTATATCTGCACTCTTGTCAATTCCGAAATTATCTGAAGCTTCCTGTATCTCTATTGCTATTCTGTCTGCCCTGCTGCTTTGTTTCTGTTCAATTTGACCATTTCTGTTTCCAGTTCAGATTTTAATATTTTTGGTCCTCATTTTTCCGAAATATGTCAATGTTACCCATCAGTTCCAACTGTTCTCTGTGGCATATTTTGTCAAAAGCTTTTCCATAATAGGTGGGCTTCATAATTCAAGCGGAGTGGGGCCAGCACAGAAGATGATCTTTGGTCAGGTCGTCCGAAAGATGCCATTCATCGTTGTTACAGTTTTTTGTGTATATGTATGACTAGTGAGCGAGTCAAAATGACTTAACTCCCTTTATAGTCCACCAACAGAAGGTTAACCAATCAGAAGCCGCAGAACATTGTATCCGTCATGTATAAAGGCGGCCATTTTTTGTTTACCCTACCCGAATGACCAGTGCCAACTTGTCCGGCGAAGATGACAGAAGGAAGTACTACGCTCTGCTACTTTGATCCGAAATATTCACTGCTAACCTCTGGATTCTATACTCGAAGACGACCGTCAAAATATCTAACAACCGTATAGTTTTGGATGGCAGACATCTTACTGTCTAGCAGATAGCTAAGACCATAGGTTCTGGTTCGGTCCATACTGCAATCTTGGGGATTGGCAAGCTGTCTGCAAGAATGGGTCCTAAGAATGCTGACACCAGGGCAAAAGTTAAAAAGGTTTTGATTCGCTTCTAGGCTGAGAATTTCCAATAACTCAAGATAAAGCATGGGTTCACTACCTTAAACCTAAATCAAAGATTCAAAACAAAAAGTGGAAAACACTCTGTTTCTCAACCTCCGAAGAAGTTCAAGCAAACTGCGTCTTTTGACAAGGTAATGGCTTCTGTTTTATGGGATTCTGAATTAGAATTAAGACAACCAAAGGACCCAATCAAGTCGAAACGTAGTGTGAAGCTGAAGGCAAGTGTGATCTTGATCTAGGATAACGCGCTATTTCAAACTGCTCAGGTTGCAGGAGCTGAAACAGCCAACTGTGGCGTTGAATTGCTACCTCATCCCCCTTACTCACCATACTTAGCTCCATCTGACTTTTTACCTGTTTCCTAAACACAAATCCCATCTATGTGATAGCCATTTTGGAAATAATGATGTGATCATATGTACTGTGAAAAAGATATTAGAAGACTAGGATGCCAGCTCCTCCCGTGATGAGATTGCAATGCTTAAGCATCGATGGATTAAATCTATTGATTTCGAGGGGGACTCTATTGAAAAATAACGAAAAACTTTCTTGTTTCTCAGACTCCTTTTGGTTTATGTTTATAACTTTTTGAAGTAATTACGTAATCATAATATCTATAATAAATTAAATAAAATAAATAATAACTGCAAATTATATTAAATTATTATATTATTTTAAAAAGAAAATAGTTACATTTTTCAGTTAAGCTTAACATTCGTTAATTTTTTGAGAGCTTCGACAAAACGTTTTGTCTTTCCATGAGTTCAGAACGTCTATAGCATAAAGATAAATGCATGACAAATATCTGTTTTCTTACAGTTTCGATTCGCTTTCCTTTCCTATCCATTCAAGGAAACCCTGCAGTTTTATTTCTGTGTCTGCCATCAACACAGTGCCATACGCGCATCTTATGCTGTTAGCTTACGGCCACATCACATTGAAACACCGTTTCTTGTACGATCACCTCAGTTAAGCAACGTCAAGATTGGTCAGTACATAAATGGGTAACCACTTGGAAATACCATGTACTGTAAGCTTGGATGTTAATGTTGTGTAATGGATAATAGCTCGGAAATTTTAATCAGAAAATCAAGGTCCAATTCTGGTTGGGTTCGTTATAATAATTTTGAGACGGATAAGAATCTACCTATTCCCCCAGCTATGGGTTAATTAGCAAGAATTGTATTTATTTACATTCACTGGAATATAAATATATTGAAACTACTCTGACCCTAAAGAGAGCCAGCAGTTTATATTCTGGTTGTGATATAGAATTGATCCTCGCTTTTTATCCACATTATTTATTGTTTGTTTATTAAATTCTGATTAGGCATGAATCCAAGTTTTCTCCCCTCAGCTATGGATTAATTAGTAAATCTTGTATATCTAAATCATTATTATCTGCCCCCACCAAAAATAAAATCTTAAAATCTAAAAATGTTTGGCTTTAATGCTACACTGAAAAATAATGAAAAAAATGTCTTTCTAGGTGAGGCTTAGAACTTTTTGAACAGCCCTTGAATATATCAATTCTGCAATGGCCGGCTCCTACTCACTTCTGACCACACGCATCTGCCAGGGCGGATAAAAAAATCCTTATTAGATAACCCTGTGGGTTATATGTAATCATGTTGAACAGACCTTAGCTACAGTTACTGACTGGCACGATCAATTATTTAAACAAGACCAGCACGTCCAAACCAACGGTCACGATGACTTGTGAATTCGTGCTCTCAAAAGCATTGACGACTACCGAAAGGTTTCAGTGAATCAGTTTCACTCACAAGGCTTGGGTTTAACCTGGAATGATTCTCAGACAATTTACAAAAGTACCGCATGCTTGAATTTCCTCCACAGATCGATATTATCAATAAATCTTTCCTCCCTTCATTGACAAATCGACTAATGTTGAGATTCGAAACCTAGTCTCATAAGCTTACAAAACCCTACGTCATGAGCGTAATATATAACCGCAAATATATGTGTGGATCTTCTTATGGACAGTGTGACAAATTCAAATGTTTTATTCTTATTTAGTTTTTTCCTTTCTTATGTCATATATGACTTGCGCCTGTTCGTGTTTATCTGCATATTTTATAAGATATTTTAAAATTCAGTGAGAAAATTTTATTTCATATTCAATTATTTTTCAGCGAAAACAAATTTCCAATAAAAATTCTTCGATAAACAAGTCGATAGATAAATAAATAGATAAAAAATACACATAGCTAGTTAGCTAGCTAGCTAGCTAGATAGATAGATCAGGAATGAGTTACATACGGATAATTTTAAGATATAGCAAGCTAGATAGATATTAAAACATCTAGATATAAAACTGAATATAAATAAACTTTGATATCTCTCTCTCTCTCTCTGTATATATATATATATATATATATATATATATATATATATGGTGGGAGATAGAGAGAGAGAGAGAGGGGAGATATGAGAAAAGACTTAGATATATAGAGCTTTTCTATATATAGTTTTTGTTAGCTAATATAATAGATAGATAGAGCAGAGTTAGATGCAGATAGTTTTAAGACAATGATACTTGGGTCGATATTAAGACGCTAAATATAAAGAAAGTTGTATATTAAGATAGATAGATAGATAGATAGATAGATAGATAGATAGATAGATAGATAGATACATACATACATACATACATACATACGAGCAAAGATTGATAGATATGTACAGACTGAGATAGCCAGGTAGAAAAATAGATAGATGCGAACAAACTGAGATAGATAGATAGATATGAATAAACCGACATAGATAGATAGATAGATAGATAGATAGATAGATAGATAGATATGAATAGAACGAGATAGATACTTAGATGCGAACAAACTGAGATAGATAGATAGATAGATAGATAGATAGATAGATAGATAGATAGATAGATAGATAGATAGATAGATATGAATAGACCAAGATAGGTAGATAGATAGATGCGAACAAACTGAGATAGATAGATAGATAGATAGATAGATAGATAGATAGATAGATAGATAGATAGATATGAATAGACCGAGATAGATGCGAACAAACAGATAGATAGATAGATAGATAGATAGATAGATAGATAGATAGATGATGGCGAGAAATGAAAATGGAGCTATGAGCTGTTGAATTTAATTCCCTTAACCCCCACCATATTACCGGAAACCAGTCGGATAAATTGACATTAATCATTGTTCGACCTTTGAGAATATAACCGCCACGTGCATATTATTAATGACCGGAAGGAAAATTACTTTACTTCTCATAAACAACATTTTAAGATGTTTTTCTTGTATCGTCGCGTTGGAGGACGGATAAGATTAAAATATAATTTTCTCAAAGGCCTCATCTTTCGCGGCTTGAAAGAAATTTCAGTTTATTTTGTTATTTCTCTTTATTGCAATTCTCCTTCTTGCGGAGTGTGTATCTTTGAATTGTCCCATGGTGGTAATCCGAATTTTTTTGGCAATCGAATATATTTGAATCTCTTGCTGCGTTACTGTGTGTTATTAAAAGATGAACATGGTTTTGAAATCAAGAAGCAACATAAACTAATGTCATTAGCGCCTTATTTATTGCATTTCTCTTTGATCTCGTCATGAAATAATTTTTTTTTCAAAAGAAATGTACATGAGAAAAGTACAATTTTTGTTTGTTATTTTAAAGAAATTTTAAAGAATTTGTTATTTTTAAAGAAAATTCTCTTATGCTGAATAGTTTTCGTAGTTCACTTAATGGGATGCAGGACAACTCAACACCGCCGATTCAGCACCGCCGACTGAACAAATCAGAACTGAGAAAACTCAGCACGAAAACAACATAAGTTTTAATAACCGAATAAAAGTACTCCCACCTATTGAGGTGTCCAGGTATGACAATAAACTATGTCCGGCAGCAAGTCCTCTAATTGGGAGGTTTTGTGGAGCATAGAAGCACATCTTAATTGCTCTTGTTCCCACATCCAGCCAGACCCGGAGTGGTAATAACCATTAGAGTCCCAGCTATGGACAAATATTTAACCTTCAAATTGGTGTCAAAATCTATGAAATATAAATATACATTTTTCTAGTAAAAATACCAGCAATATATATATATATATATATATATATATATATATATATATTCTATTCATACGAACCGGTTCAAAAATTTTGTCGGTATGAAATAACCCACTGAGGTGTTGATGTGCCGTAAAATATAATAAACCAAACGAAAACTAGTAAAAATTAATATATTCTTAATTGCAAGGAACAAAAATCCATGCATATATAAAATAGGGGTTATAAAAACATTATTAATCATGCGAAAATAATTTCTTTTTCGAACACATAAAATGACAATCATTTTCAAAATTATGCTTTTGCTGAATAAGTTAAAATGGCCTGACAGAAATTTAATAAAATAACATAATATCAACAAAAATAAAGATTCCATTAAACAATTTTATTATAAGCAGATGCATCCTAATGATAAACAAGACGAAAAGGCTGTTAAAATATAATTCGTGCGTTTAGTATATTTATTGATTTTAATAACTTAGATTTGTCATTTAGTACAAAAATATCATAACGTCTAATCTAATACTTGGAAATTACTTTTAATCTCAAAAATCCACCCTTTCTGAAAAAAATGTTGTTTAGGAATTCTCGTGTCCTGAAGTAGATTGCATCTCCGACATTAAAAAAACTACAAGCAACATTAACTTCTTTCATTGGTCACACATGGGTTAACGTGTGGTATGTAAATTGCTTGTGTTATTCTCACATGCATGTCACAAATCATAATAATAATAATTATTTTAAAGAATTCTTCCTGCATAATTACACCTCATGTGTATGTATATATATATATATATATATATATATATATATATATATATATATATATATATATATATATATGTGTGTGTGTGTGTGTGTGTGAGTGAAAATATATAGAAAATAGGAAGGAACTGGTTAGGTAAATAATCCAAAGTTCCTTAGTATTTTAGTTATTATTTTTAAAAAATAGTGCTCGATACAAAAGTAGAGCATAAATATAATTATGTTTCAAAACAAGAGCCGAAAATTTCAATATATATATATATATATATATATATACACACACTCCTGGTCAAAATCTCAAGACCAGATACAAAAGGGTTAAAAAATATAAAAATACAGTTACTTTAATCGAAATATAATTGTAATTTATATTTAATTAGAAAAGGTAGTTTATCAACAAACAAGTGAAAATTTTAATTGATTAATTTAAACAAACATAGAAAAAGAATTTAAATCACAGATTTTTTGTAGCAAAATCGGATCCCGTCTTACTAAAATTTGTTCTGAATCGAAAAATTAAAAAAAAAAACGCAATAAAACTAAGATATTATTTTATTAAAGAAGCTTTCAGTTGCTTTTAATATATATATATATATATATATATATATATATATATATATATATCAAGATATGGATTAAGACTAATTATCATTTGATATATTTTCTGTTTCTACCTTATTTTCATAGAAACAATTTATTAATTAAAAACAGAGCATTTGCTTAAATAAATTGTATCTATAAAAATAACGTATAAACAATATATATATATACATTTGTGTGTCATCCATAGAGAGAGTGTTTTGCAGCTCACCAGTGTGGCTAGACATCAGATTGCCTCAAGCCAAGATCGAAACCCAACCGATATCGCATCAGACGTAGATTTTCCCCCTGAGCTATCAACAGAGAACAAGGTGAATTTTTGTGTATTTATTTTAGAAAATAACACGCCATTAACTCAAAGTTCTCAATTTATAGAAGTGATTTTGCATCAGCAGTAGCAGTCACTCTTTACAAATTCGCGCTTTTCCCTCTAAAGTGCTCGACATTATTATATTTTTTTGACGTATATATATATATATATATATATATATATATATATATATTTATTTATATATATATATATATATATATATATATATAATAAAAAGGCTTAAACACTAATATTGCATGGTCATAATTATTCCATTGGAATCGCAAATACGATCCAACTCATCAGACCTACATATATATATATATATATATATATATATATATATATATATATATATATATATATATATATATATATATAACTATCTTCTGAAAATACATTGGTCAAGATTAATTGTTAATGTAAATTATGATGTTTCCCTTTTTACTTCTTTATTTTTATTGTCTTTGTTTTTTTAAATTAAAATATATTTAAAAAATTGCCATTAATAACCCTTTATGTTTAATATAAAATTATATTTTTTCATATAGTTTTGTCTTTCTGTTTTAATATATATATACATTGACTGGTTCACCGTGTTGTCCCGGTCTCACTCCTTATTTCATCTAAAGGTTCTGGAGGCACTTTACATCTGTGTTAATTTTATATATATATATATATATATATATATATATATATATATATATATATATATATATATATATATATGTATGTATGTATGTATGTATGTATTGAATTAATACCATTAATCCGTGTTTAGTTTAAATATAAAATATAATATTTATCCACGTTTATTTTCATATATATATATATATATATATATATATATATATATATATATATATATATATATATATAAATGGCTATTGTAAATGCAACATATATTCCAAAAATTAATAACCATAATTTCCGTATAATATATGGATTCATCAGATATATTTATTAAATTTAAATTATGTTACTCTCAGTCTCTATCCAGCACCTGAATATTACGTTGCGCATGAAACTCCGAGGCGTGCTACGTATAATATATCGCTCTCTTATATTACGTCAAACAATTTTTATTATTAAAACCAGCTCTCAGCGAACATAGCATCAGAAAGATTTGCTGAAGATTTTCGCTGTTGTACTTCGTCTCTTGGTCGGTCAATATGACTGATTTCGGAAGGTTTGATACAAATACCTCTCGAAGTATGTATGAGACAAACTGGCAGCTGAGAGAGGTTACGTTTTATCTTGTCTTTATATCTGAGTCAAGGCCGCCCAACACCCCTTTGTCAAGCCGTCTATACATGAGGATCTTAGGTGTCGACATGCATCCTTGCATCATGACTGGTGCAGCGAAGTTGTAGCATCAGGAAATTTTCAATTTTATCAACGTTGAATACTGCGAGAAGATTCAGTATATGTATATATATATATATACTTAATTATTTCAAATCAAACTTAATTTCTATCATTTATATATCCTTGCTTGAACTGGCTTCTGGATGGATCGGCTTGGTGATGGTAGTCGTGTCTCTCGGAGGCACAGTCCTATGAATAAAGGAACTTGGATGAGTTCCACCAGGGAATATGTGAACGAGCGGCGCAGTATCGAGTCTAGTTCGCTACCCTTCCGTCACCGAGGCCTATTGGTACAGTTGGTATGACGTTTGCCTATTAATGTAATCCGGGTTTCAATTCTCGGTAGTGGATGCGCACTGCTGATGAGTGCCAAATATAGGACGAAACGTCCAATGCTTTCTCCCTTCTGTTGAGGTTTCTTCTTGACTCGATGAATTACTTAATAATCTCAAATCCTTCTTCATTTCTATCATATATATATATATATATATATATATATATATATTGATGTGGAGTAGTTTTCACAGTGGAGGCTTGTATTTCACTAAGTCGTCCTAAATTAGGTTCGACGTACAAAACCTTAGGAACTTGAGTTAATGACGCAGTAAATCTAGTTGTGATGGATGATACTCCAATGTCCGACATCGACTGACTGACTCAACACCACTGAGACAAACTGGCCACTGCTACTACTACTTATTATCTGTGGGGGAGTCTATTACAATAGAATAGGTATTATGGTATAACATATATATATATATATATATATATATATATATATATATATATATATATATATAGTAATTCATCGAGTTTAGAAGAATCCTCAGAAGAACTAAGCTGCTGTTTCATCCAATTTTGGAACCCAGGCAGTTTTGATACAAGGCAAGCGTCATACAACTGCACCAACAACTGAATATACAGCGTTGTGATGATATTCATCCAAGTATTCATAACCCAACGGGTTGTGCCCCAAGAGCAGCGTCTTTCCTTTTCTCCTTAGCCGCTCCATCACAGAGCATTTGCTGGGTTAAGCAAGGATATAAAAGTGAAATAATTTTGAGGAATGAGAATAATCATTATAGCAATTCATCGAATCTAGAAGAATCCTCAACAGAATGCAAAAAGCAGTGGACAGCCATTTCATCCTATTTAGAACTTATCAGCAGTGCGT